AGGTCAGCCCTTCAGTCGCTGCCATTTTCCCAGAGGAACCCAAGGGCAGTGTCCTGTGCAGGGCCTGGCACCTCTTAGAGCCCAGGGTGGTAGCAATGGGCAGGGCTATACCCTTAGGGACTGTGTGCCCTAGGCTGATCACTCTCAGACCCACCCCGTCACGCTGGCATATCTCGAATGAGGTCCCTGGCTGTGTCTGTGACCACTCAACTATTCCCTTCCCCAAAACACAGAGAGCCTGGCAGCAGGGCCTGGGGACGTGGAGACAAGGCAGGCATGGTCTGGCCTCAGGAGGCTCGTGGTCTGGTGGGGAGGCCAAGGCTCTCTCCCTGCTCTCTCTCCCCACCTCCCTGCTTTACCGTCTTTCCATATGTATTTATTGAGCAACAAACGACCACACGGGGTGCTGAGTGCCAGGAAGGTGGGGGCCGAGAGCTCCGTGGGAGTCTGGAGGAGAAACCCCACGGTCACTGGAGACCCTGGCCAAGGTCGTTTCCAGGCGGCTCAAGGAGGATATAGAATCTATTAGACAAGAAGCCGTGAGTCATAAGCCCCGAACAGCCCTCCAGACTTCCCCATGAATCACACACTGCCCTATTCTCCTCGTTAGAGGCACACGCCATGGGGAATTCTCCTTCGGACCGAGGGAGGAAATATGGGGGGAAGTGGTGGGAGGCCGGCGCTCAGAGTGGAGTCCCAGAGGCAGTTTCCCACCCTTGTCCTTTCCAGACCACAGGCCTCGCACCAACGGCTGAGCCCAGGACAGCCGAGTCTGGGTAACTGGGTAACTGGGACCCTCCTCGTGCTTCCTGCTTACCAAGTGCCCCTCAGGCTCGGAGTTGGTCCGCACCACCGAGGTGGGAAGGTCTCTGCGGAAACCGGCTCGTGCAAGGGGAAGGGGCTGGTCGAGCAGAAAAGAATCGCTTCCCCCTAGCCGGACCCAGTTCCCACCCGGGGGGACGGGAATGGTCCGTGACCGTCCAGTCTTCACACGCATTGCGGCGTCTCCATGCCCGCTCCGTTCTGAGAGCAGGCCCACCCGGAGTGAGCAAGGCGGACGAGGCCGCTGCCCTGGAGGCCTGGCCTTCGAGTGAGAGGCCCTACGCAAACCAGCACACGGTGGAGACAGCGCTGCGGACAAAGCCCCAGAGCAAAGGTGCGCGAGGGCCCAGAGAGCCACTGGTCAAACGGGTGGTGACCAGGAGGCCCCGCCGGGAGCTGAAGGACACCGAGCTGGCCTGCGGAGAGCTGGGAGGGCTGTTACAGAGGGAAGGGCCCTGACGGCGTGAACTTGGCCCACCTAGAAGGGGTAGCGAGGCCTGCTGGAGCAAGCCCTGAGTGAGGGAAAGGCAGGAGGCGCGGTCGGAGACAGAACGGCCAGCCAGGCAGGGCCGGCTCATGGCCTTCGCTGGGACTCGGCCCATTATTCCGAGTGAGATGGGAGCCCGGATGGTTCTTTTTTTCTTTCTTTCTTTTTTTTTTTCTTTTTTTTTTTTTTTAGGGTTTT